CCAGTATTCTGCCCACGGAAGCCAGTGAGCCCACTGTTTGGGCTTCTCCCCTATGAAGCACCTTAGGTAGGCTTCTAAGCACCGATTAAGAACTTCAGTCTGTCCATCCGTCTGGGGGTGGTAACTTGTGGATGGGTGCAGTTGGGTTCCTTGCAATCGGAAGTATTCCTTCCAGAATGAACTCAGGAAGGCAGGGTCACGGTCCGATACAATGGATCTTTTGTCCTATGCAATTTGGCGACGTACCGTATGAAGATGTCAGCCATCGTTGCTGCGGTGTAAGGGTGAGGCAGGGCAGAGAAATGGCTATACTTGGTGAGATGGTCAACTACTACCATGATAACTTCCTTCCCTAAAGAACGGGGAAGTTCGGTGATGTAGTCCATGGAGAGGTCTTCCCATACTTGCTTTGGAATCTTGAGGGGCTGTAGGAGGCCCACGGGAGACTGTGAGGAGTATTTCTGCCGTTGACAAGTCTGGCATTCAGATACATAGTGTAACACGTCCTTGCGCATACTTACCCAATGGTAGTGGCTGCTGAGCCTCTTTAGAGTCCTTAGCACTCCTGAATGTTTTCCCAAGGAGGAATCATGAAACAACTTCAATAGTTCAGTTTTGTGCCTGGAATTTGGAGCAATCACGAACCATCCCTTAAAGAAGAGGTCTGGTCCCACAATTTGGTACCCTGCAACCTGGGAAGGGTTATGCCTCAATTTTTTACTAATGTCCTGCAGCTGCGGATCAGTCCTTGCTTTTTGCCTTATGGTTTCAAACAAGGGAAAACTGGGCTGAGGGTAGGTTAGTTGAGCCAGCTCTTCTACTCGTGATAAGGCATCAGCTACCCTGTTAGCAGGCCCAGGTTTGCACTCTATTCGGTAGTCGAAGCCCATCAGTTTACTAAGCCACTTTTGCTGCTCTGGGGTGTGCACTCTTTGTTCTGCTATACACTTCAGACTTCGTTGGTCTGACCTTATGATAAATTGGCGTCCCAATAGATATGTACGCCATTTATGGACTGCCATTACCACTGCCATCATCTCCTTGACATAAGTGGACTGGTTCTGGTGGGCGGCTGATAAGGCCTTGCTGAAGTAAGCAATGGGCTGTCCCTTCTGCATCAGGACGACCCCCACTCCTGCACCTGAGGCATCACACTCAATCTCAAAGGGCTGAGTGAAATCTGGAAGAGTAAGGA